ATAAATAATTATAATAAATAAAAACTAAAAAATATAAGAAATTAAAAAAATTCATATAAACCTTTTCGTAAAAAAAATCTTAAAAATATTTTTATAAAAAATAATAATTCATATTTAATATATAAAAATTAATATTCATAAGTATTAATAAAATTTAAAAATACTCATTTATCGAATATCCACATCAATATGAGACAAATATTCGCATGAATATGAAAGGAAATCCAGACCTTTATATCCACGTGGATATGAAACAAATACAAGATAATTTTTTTATTGAGGCGAGTGACGAGATCCAATTAGACTACTTACAATCTGCCTCATGGGCCATGGCCGGTTGCCATCCCAAGTCTTGAAAAAAGCCAAGGGATTTGTATCCAACTATCTATAGTGAGACTCAAACTCGAATTAAGGACACAACATTCATAAAACCTGATGATAGTTATCCTAACTAATTTCTTTTTTATCCATAAAAACTATATGACAGTATTGGAAAAAACCTAAGTCTCACATCGACTAGAGATTAGGCAATTGATGAGTATATAAGTGGAAAACAACCATCACCTTACAAGTCGATTTTGTAGGGTTGAGTTAGGCTCAAATCCACTATTCTAAAATATTAGAAAAAATCCAAGTCTTACATCGACTAAAGATTAGACAATTGAATAGTATATAAGTGGAAAGCAACCCTCACCTTACAAGTCGATTTTGTAGGGTTAAGTTAGACTCAAACCCACTATTCTAAAATATTGAGAAAAACCCAAGTCTCACATTGACTAAAGATTAGGCAATTGAATAGTATATAAGTGGAAAACAACCCTCACCTTACAAGTCAGTTTTGTAGGGTTGAGTTAGGCTCAAATTCACTATTCTAAAATATTGGGAAAAACCTAAGTCTCACATCGACTAGAGATTAGGCAATTGAAAATATAAGTGGAAAGAGTTAGGCTCAAATCCACTATTCTAAGATGGTATCAGAACTATCCTATATTCTTAAAAATGGGTCATCCACCATTGATACATGCATCATAAGCATGAGGGGGTGTATTGAGAAAAACTCAAGTCCCAACCCTCACCTTACAAGTCGATTTTATAGGGTTGAGTTAGACTTAAATACACTATTCTAAAAGACAGTGAAAAAGTTCTAACTTAAAACTCATATTACTCCAATTTTAACTGTTAGATAATTATTTGTGTTTAATTATTCTTTTAACTATAATTTAGTTTATAAGAGATTTTGATCTCTTTAGTTTCTTCTGGCTTATAGAGTCATTAATTTTTAAATTTTAAAATGTAGTCTCCTACCAATTTTTTTCTCTATAAAATCAAGTTCTCATTTTCTTCTCCATTTTTTCACAAATCAAAATAATGAATTATTTTGAATCTTCCCTACAAAATTCACCGATAAAAATATCAAATTTCCCTCCATTTAGAAGAAGAAAAAATCTTAAATTTTCACCGAAGTTTTGAATTCTAAATTTTTTAAATTATTTCACATCTCAAATCTACCGTAAGCCCTAAGATATTTGTATCGAAAATAAAAATTAGAATCTATAAAACAAAATTAAGAGAAGGATCAATGAAATTTGTTTTAAAAATAGAAAAACTTTAATTAGTTAATAATTTACGGAGACCAAAACCACACATAATTCAAGTTAAAACGATCAAAATTGCAATTAAATCAATTATTTAAAACAAATATACAAAATTATTCAATCTTTTCTATCCTTTTTAGACTATTACGAACATTTAAATTAATCTTTGAAGGATAATTTGACATTTCCTAGAACATTAATTCATGTAACGACCTGGGTTTACTGTGGTACCAGATGATTCAGATGAGTGGTACCAGATGATTCAGATGACAGCTCCACAAGAGCATTGATGACAGCTCCCTTTGATTCCCTTATCACTAAGTTATACATCAAATCACAGGATAGGAGCAAGTTCTAATACTGTTAATTGTCGAGTATATAAATGGAAAGTTAATGTGACATTTTTAAAATTTGGATCCCACAGAGTACAATTTTCAAACCAACTGAATGATTATTGTTGGTTTGTTGAACAAAATAATACACATGATCTACCCAAAATTTCCACAGGAGTAACCCTGCATTTTGTCCTCCATTTCCTTTTCACACCAAAATAGCACCATTACTGTTAAGAAACATATTCAGAGGGGAGAAGAAGAGAGAAACTGATATAGAAGCAATATACTATTGAATTGAATTAGAAAAGTGTGTTTACAAAATCACTGTGAGAGCCTTAATATAGGTCAAGTACCGATTACAATCTATATCCCTAATAATCACTACCTGCTTTGTATAAACCATCAGTCCACAAATTAATAACACTAGCGTACTTCTCAACATTCCATATCATATACAGTCACCGTCCCAAACAATAAATCGAATAATCAAAACCCTAAACAGATTTCGTACAAAATTTATTCCGCAAAGCTTCCTCCACTTTTTGGAAAATCACTGAGAATGTTCCTGCAAAGAGAACAGCCCACAACTAAATTTATTTACTGTTAGCAGAGAGTCACTGCCACTTAACCAAGGCAATTATAATGCACCGACAATGTTAATTTTATAATGCACATCGAGCCCATATACAGACAGAATTTATTCCTCCAATGCTATTTCTTGAAAAAATGTTACTAAAATGATGAAAAAAAAAAACATTTAGGAAATTTGAAATTGGAAAAGCAGGTTGGAGAAAAACCTGATAATGGGCTATTCCTGTCTTGTAATGAACCTTTCACCAACAGTGTCCCAGGGATTTGCTGAAAAACCTGTAGGATGAATAAATAACACAAGATCAATGTGAATTCGGCCAAACAAAATCAACTTTCAAGCTAGCAAGAATGCAAGAATACCGATATACGAAAGCATAATCTCTCAAGAGAAGAATTCAAACTCGTTCCATTAGATGTCTCTCTTATAGGTTGGAAATCCATGGATTTATTGATAATGGGTAATTCATTCCTCAAGATCGAATCACATTCATCTTTTGATGCTGCAACCTATTATAATGAGATCATGTTTAACAGCCATCACAAAGAAATTATACAAGAATCTAAGAGTTAAAGAGTGACTGATCTTACATCCACTGTGAAAGAGGAGGTATTTAATTTACAGGATAGGCCATGCGAAGAAAAGTAAAATTTGACAGCTTCCAACACATTAAAGGCACCATGTTGGCGTTGAAGACCCTGGAAAGTTTATTTGTTTCATCACATCATGTCAGGAAGAAACCAAATGCGACAACACACGGGAATATATGTCATAGGTGCAATTGATAATCTTGAAGCAATTCAACATCTACTTCATATAATTGAAGATCTCTTTCGTACATGAAATCATATACAAACTTGTGCCCCAACTGGAAACTTAGAGCTACTGGGATTCCCCACCTGCCAACCTTGTATGCAAAGGATGAATGCACCAACAAGAACTGAATGCTCACCCAACAATAAAAATGCATGAAATCAGAATTATTATTTTTTTGTTGAATAAATCAGAAAATTGCTGTTGTACTTAATATATTGGAAAGATAATGGATAACTAATACATTCACTAATTGAGGGAAAATAGTTCCTGTTATAAATATCATGCTAGAAAGATTGCCTTCCTGTTTCAAATTAGTTGACAAGATTCTGACATCTGAACTTAATAGTTGCCTTTCACTCTAGCAGGATGTCTCTTCAAGTTAGCCACCATATATATTATATCCCAGAGCATACACACTACACAAATTGATGATCTGAATCCCTGTCATTCTCGTCAGTCAGTTAGATTGCTGTTCAAAGCATATTTTGGATTAAAGGTTCTCACTAATCTGATATCCACTTTAAGTTGTAGCACAAAATATATAAATCATGTTCTTATAGTTTCTATCAAGGATCAATATCCTAGAATGCCAGATAATGTCCTCGGCTCAAAGAATAATAGCATCATTTATTCTTTGGCATGGAATAACAACCAATTTAAAATATGCACCAGTGAGTGTGTGAACTTAAAAGCAATACTTGTTAGAAACTGTAAAATAGATAGCAGTATACTGTACCTCAAGTGTGAAGGACATGTTTTTCTTGTCGGGTAAAGAAATTGATGACTTCTGCATGGGAGTCAAGAAAGACCAAGCAAGCCCCCAACGATATGTCCTGCCTTGGGCAAATTCAGTTGTCTTGACTATGGCAACTCCAACCTCCCAAAGTTTCGATATAAGGTACTTGAGATTCGATTTTTTACCTAACATTGAAGTAAACCACCTATAAACAAATTAAAATGAATGAGCTCAAATTTTTCACATGCAAATGAACAGGTAAATGTAAGATGAAAAATAAAAAAGATATTTCATATACAAATAGTAATACCGAAACTGATGCTTCAGTTGAACGCTATCTTCAATGATACGTGTAATGAAGGCCTTTTCACCACCAGGGCAAACCATTTCCTTTGAGGTCCCACCACAAGAAGTTTTGGGATTGAGTCCAGCTTCCTTCAAGCTTTCAAAAAATGGCGGATTGCACATGCAGAAATCAAACTTCTCGTCATCCCTGACTACACCAACAAGTATGGGAGGCCCATAATAATTCTTATTCTCGCTGTCAGGAAAACCATGAGGCAAAGAATCTACCTCAGTATCAGTACTCTTGCACAGGGTTATCTCATCCCCATTCACGGACTCCTCAACTTCCACACCAGGAGCATTTGCATTGCCTTGAACTTTTCTGATTTCAATCAGTTCAGAAATATGTGGATTACTATTAACATTTCTCTCTGCCCACTCAATTGCAACATCAGTCACATCTGCAGTCAGTCATCATAAGCAAATCAATATCTCAATTTTGAAAGTGGTTGCACAAACTATAACGCTAAAAGCAATGGATAAATCTTGGTTGACATTCCTTACAAGCTTTTAGTGATTTTTTAAATCAAAATTTCAATATCAGCTCAATAACCTACACAAACCTTTATTAGGCATTGTTGAAGAAAAACTCTAATTCTAAATAAAGAACACACCAAAAGCAATTAAAGAGCCACACCCACATCTAATGCCCGGTTTGTTTTTCATAAAAGAATCACTTTTAAAAGCTTTCCATCCAACTTTTCGAAATAATATGAAGTTGAAAAGAATCTAAAGGTCTATTTGCATAAATTTTTCTAGAAACTCTTGTAAGAGAAGAAAATATGAAAGAAAAATAAAATAAGTTTATCCATAACCCAATTTCTCCAAAAGTTGTTACTTAACTAACTTCATACCTGATCCTACAAAAGCCCATCCATGAAGAGAAGCACCAAGAAGGGGGTAAATGCAACTAGCTCCAGTCCCAATGTCAAATCCCCTAACCTTCCCATCACTTGAAACGTAGTTGGGAATAAGGTTGGAGGAGAGAAGATGTTGAAGCCAACGAATGTAATTGCACCTGTTGGGTACAGTGGGACACAGTTGACCAACAGGAATCCACCTACAAACAAAGCAAAACACATTCATTCATTCCTTCTTCAGTAATAAACAGTATATTAGGGTTTTCTAGAGAGAAGAAGAAGAAGAAGAAGAAGAAGCAAACCAATTGAGGGCGTGGCGGTGATGGAGCAACACGCGCGTGAGTTCGCGAGTGGCGTTGAAGTCGGTCCAATCGATGGTGGCGCGACGTGAGAATTGAACGAAAGGGTGGAAGGAAGGGTAGAGGGAAGCCAAAAGAGCAAAGTCCGGTGGGGTTTCCGAATACACGCTGCTTCCTTCTTCTTCCTTTCTCTTCCTCTTCTTGTTCCCACCCATTTCTCAAAATCAAACCTTTTTCAGAGAAGAAACTATTATATGTAATTATGCTTTATTGTTCAAAAAGACAAGAAACTATCCCTATTTCATCCACTACAAATTTAAACCTTTTTCCTATATTTCATCTTTTTTATTTTAATTTTATTTAAGTGGAAAATTAGGTAAATATGATTTTAAACTTGATAAATATAAATGCATTTATTTTTAATGATCAATTTTTCTTTCGTTAATTTTAATTTTTATGAAATTTTAAAAATGTTAACATGATTATGAATACTGTTAACTAAAAACATGACATTCATTTATGTGTACCATATGCTATCTCATAATGTTATCTAAATACATATCATATCACTCCCTGATAATAAAAACCATTTAAAAATAATAATTTTAAAAAATTCAAATATACATATATTATATCAATTGCAATTTTAGTTCACGGTTTTAATCTCTAATATTTTAATTATATAATTTTAGTTTTCAGTTTGTAAAATTAACAATTTTGATTTGATCGATGTTTATTTATTTATCATTAAATTTATAATATTAATTATAATTTAATATTAAGTAGATGACACAATAATTTTTAAGATAAATTATGATTTTAATCTTTATTTTTACTTGTAAATTGATAAGAAAAGAAAATAAGAATAAAAAATATAATATAGTCTAAATATTATTAAATATTAATTATCACTTTAAATACATAATTTGAAATTGTGATCAATATTATTTTAAGAATCTATCATAATCCTTGTATTTAACGAAATCAAACAACTAGTAATGGAAACCACACTATAACTACCTAATAGTAAGATAATTACGATATTTAGATATGTACATTATAATATATATACATACAGTTGTCAACTAAACTAAACAAACAAACAAATATTTATATGTGTATATGCATGTGTGTACAATAATCTAATTGTGAAAATAAAAATCATAGTTGTTGGTCAAGAAATAATTAGACAAACTAGTTACATCAAAGTAATCTAACAAATGCAGCAAAACCAAACAGTAATATGGTCTCACCAAAGTCATTGTCTACCTCCAACTAACTTGCCTTACTCTCATTAAAAACATGATCATCGCAATCCAACCACCAAGAAACATGTAAGGGTAAGCTAGATATTAAAATGATCAACATAACAACAATCGAACGTCCAATTTAACAACACATAACAGCATACAACATAGGATTTACAACTCAACAACATACAACTTAGTATATAAACAACACAATTTTTCAATGATGAGCAACTAACACAACATAGCAACTTATAACACGATACAACTTTGCAACATATCATGCATGCAAGCTTAGAATCTTCTAGTTATAACAACATGCAACTCATAAATTGAATAAAAGGTGACATGCAACAACAACACACCAAACAGATCATCCAACTTTTCTTTCTTCACCATAGACACCAAGAACAAGTTCTTCAAAATCCAACATCCACTCCAAATTAAGCATACCTACAAACATTCAACAAGAATCAAGGTACATGTAGCACCACAATCCACTAATAATCAAGTTCTACCTTCCCTTATGTCTTGAAATAACAAATCCGTAAGAAGAGGGAGAAAAGAGGAAAACTTTGTACAACTTCGAGACAAGATCTCGACTCCACCAACTTTGATATCAAAGTTAGCCACTTGGTTCAACTACAAGGGAGAAGAACGGAAAGATCTTTAGAAAGAGGAAGAGAAGAAAAAGGTTTTCATTTTCTCCACTCTCTTGAGTCTTTCAACATGAAATTTATAAGTCTCCTTCTTGCGAAAGCTCCTTATAACCCTCATTGGAACTAAACCAATTTAACTAACATCAACTTATCACTTAACTACACAAATGAAGTAAACAACCCAAAAAAATAATGTTATAATTATAATTTCAAAGATCTACAAATTAACATTTAACAATTATAAAATTACAAATTTTACATATTTAAAAGACTGAAATTATAAAATTAAAATTTTAAAAATCAAAATTATATATTAAATAAAAGATGATCAAAAGTGCAATTTAATATATGTTATTAATTTTTTTAACAAAACAATCAAAACCACTATATTGGCATAATAATAATAATAACAGAAAAACACTATACAGGAATCAATATATAAATCTAGATTTTCTACCTATATTTATCAAATTTGTTGCGGTTAACTAAGACTATCTTTGATAAGTGAGATATAGTCCAGCATCGAGTGGAAGAGGCGAAAATTGAGATAATCCAGAAATTTAATTTTGATAAAAGTGAAACAAATAAAATAAAAAAATAAAATCTCAATCCCACTAAATTAGGTATAGAAAGGAAATTGAGAAAAAGCAGTGCCCATTCTATCAAACTTTTGAAAATAACCTCCATGTCCATCTAGTTAATTATGGGTACATATATATTAATTGATTACAACACAGTTTAGCAAGCTAGTCGATTTTGAAATCAATAGCACACAAATGAAGCCCACACGCAAAACAAACTATAGAGGAAGCAATTGCTCCAAACACTGGTGCACCGAGAAGTTATCACTTTGCACTCAAATTTCATTCAGAATCCAATTTGTAATCTACTGCACAATAGTTGCATTCAGATTTTTAAACGACAAATTTTTAAACACACGATAACCAGTTTTTTGTAAAATTGCTTCATCACGAATCAATTATGAGAACATTATACTGATTAAAAATTTGATAGCTTCCATTATGTACAACTACAAGTAAAAATGGTTAAATTGTCAAATGTGATTAGTTAATGGTAAACGCTAATAAAAGAGTAAAATAATTTAATTTATAATCTTCCATTTAACAAAACAATCTCATGATATTATTTCGTTTTTATTTCTCCCAAGCCAGAGATCTCAAAATCCCATCCTATTTCATATTTATTTCTCTCTTCCTTTTTTCCCCCTATTTTTATATACTCTATTACTTATTATTTTGTGCACTACATTCGCCGTCTTAAGAGCCCTTTTTAATGAATCGAACAATTCCTTTCTGGAGCAAAAGCATCAATATTATGTATTCCAGAATATGTACATCCTCAATCTTATTGGTAAATTCTAGAACTATAAAAGGCTGTTTGGCCATAGAAACTACATATAAAATAAGATTGGAGCAGATTGCAAAAGCTTGACACAGTATGAAGGCTGTCAGAAAGCTCCCAAACTAGGCATGGCAGAATTATACAAGGAAAAAAACATTCTAGCCACTTTTGCCGCGAGAGCATCAGAATAAATTGATCAACATTGAAATGCCTCATTGTGATGCTACCAATAGAGCCCACAACAGAATAACAGCGCAAACTCCATCTTCTGATCAAAGAGAAGGCAAAACCATAAGTGATTAATTTTTCAAGAAAATAGATTAAAAAATATATATATCAAATCTACGACCTAAGCCACAATTAGAAGCCCCTATTTTTGTGGGGAGCGGGTTGAAAAACTTGAACTCTACATTTGGATCTGAATGGTGTTTGAACAAAAGCACAAGGAGATCGGGGATTTATTAGAATCAAGTGTTGACTAATTTAGCACATGAAAAATTTCCTGTGATTATCATATGGAATATATATGGAAAGGAAATAGATGTGTGACCTCCAAATGACAGGTTGGAGACTCCAGATGGAGGAACCGCTGTGCAAAAAATATCGCACGAGAATACTGGTCAACCAAAACCAAACCCTTCACTAGCTTCATGGATGGCAAGTAACAAACGTTCTTGAAGCTGTTCCTTTGAGGTGTACTCAGGAAGGTCAAGTTGATTGAAGCTGAAAAGATGAAAGTAGAGAGAAGGAATCAGTATGGCAGAAACTCTATGTAGACACTGTAAATTGTAGTAAATGTATGGATGTGGACAGGCTATAATATTTACTTACCAAGTATGAGCTGATGGAAGTCGATCAGGAGCTCCATATGCCTTGTGAATCTGAAACCTTTGAGGACCAGAGATGCCTTGCAAGGCCTTAAAACCCTCCAAAGGAACCTGAAAAACAAGTTTGAAAGGCTACATATGTTACCATGTGCATTCAAAAGCGATTAAACACCAAATAAAGATTTTTTGCCCAAAGATAACACCAACTCTGGGATAATTACTCCAACAAGATTAACCTTCCCCTCCCCAAAAAAAATCTTGAAATACATCACAACTGTTTACAGCATACATCATAGTAAAATTCATGTATCTGGGGATGTATGTTGCATATTTGCACATTTATAATTAATGAATTTTAATAGACAACAGTCAGAACACATCTGGCATAAGACTAGTGTTCTCCAATACTTGAAGAACTATTTCATAGCATGGGGAAACAAAATCTTAAACAAAGAAAAAACTTTTATATCACTCATTGAACTACATTTATACTGTTGGGGGAGACACAAATACAATGATGGAAAAGGGCTACAAATGAAACTGGAAGATCTACTAGAATTAAACCAGATAATACGGGGAAGAATATGAAACAAGTAACATCAAACATATCTTCCAGTTTATAAATGCATCACTTCTCAAGTGAATGTGTGTGTGTGGGCATGTATATCAAGAAAATATCAAAAGTATTCTCACGAGAACTAATCATTGAGCATACATTTGGTATTCTAATGAGAAAAGCTTTCCTGTTATGCCCTGTACGTGTGTTAATAGCTTTCAGCCTTTTGGTTTTGAATGGGACAAGTACCCTTAGCATGTGATTGAAATATTTATATTTATTAGACAACCTTTTAACATTTCTACTACATTACCTTTGATGTTCCGGTCACAAATTGCAGTAATCTTGCCATGTCTTCTTTGTTGAAATTTTTTACCACCTCCCAGAACCATTGAACAACATTTGATGCCACTGTATAGCCAGTATACTCGGTGTTGGCCTTCAAGTCATCCACTATAAGGAGAATAACACCATTCAGATGATTCATTGGAGAATAAAAATATACAACATGATCTAACAAGTGATGAAACCAACTCACAATCAATTTCTGGAAGACCACTGATGAGAAGCTCAAGCTCTTTGTCATTAAATATAGATATCAGTTCTCGTGGCACCAATTCATTAAAACCTTCTAGGAA